TAATCTAATATTTTTTAAGTAGCTGCATTAAAAAATAAGAAGGTGAAATTAATTTTAGTAATATATTGTATTTAGCCTAATATATTAAATATTATCATTTTAACATGCTACTGATATAAATATTACTAATGTGATACTTTAAATTTCTTTTTTTTATTGGTATTGTCTTTGAAATCCAGTGTGTATTTTACATTTACAGCATGCATCAAATCAGACTAGTCACATTTCAAGTCCTTAATAGCCACAAGTGGCTAGTGGCTGCCACCATTGACATAGCAGCTTTAAGCTACTCTTTACTTGAGTCTAGATCATCAGAATCCTAATGTTGTTTTTTTCTGGGGTTTTAAATAACTTTGTCCTTTTTGAGCTATTTTTCCAGGAAGTGATGGATTGTATTGAGTCATCCCTCTTACCTCCTTGTGGCCCGACTTGGGTAGGGTGTAATTATGGGTCCTTTCTAAGGAAATGATCCAAGTGGTGATCGCATGCTTACTTGGAATTGAATCTATGACCTGCCTGACTGAATGTAGCTAATCATCCCAGCATACTGACATTAGCCAGCAGAAGGGAAAACAGACAAAGTTTGAGTTATGTGAAAAGACCACATCAATAGTATTAAAAGGATATGAAAATCAGTGGAGGAGTATAGCCATTTTGGAAGGAGGTGAAAACAGATTATGTAAATACTGAAAATAGATTTTTAAAGCTTTTAGCAGTGGCAGTGAAGATAAAAAAGTGTTTGATATCCCCCCATCATCTATGTCCCCAGAAGGGTTATTACTTTTCTTTTTTATGAAACCTGAGCTGTCCCATGAGGTAGATGCATTGAGGTTACATATTGTTGAATCTCAATAAAGGTCCTCAAACACACGAGTATTTATATAATTAAATAATTAAAATTAATAATTAAAAAAAAAGAATAGAAGTAAAACCTAAGGTTTCCCAATGTAAAAATTTCTGGGATTAGGAGATAGGATGAGTGGAGATGAGAGTGTCATGCACTTCTTTAGGGGTACTGTGAGTTTGGGGAAGGGAAAATGCAGTAAAATGAGAAAAGATTAGACCTCGATAGTGCATAGCAAATTATCATAGCATGCCTCCTCACCATATGCTCATTCCATGATAAGTTCATGTTCCAAGATGAAATGAAAAATTAAGATGCATGGGCATTGGAGATTCTGGAAAGGATAATAATAAAAGAAACCTGTATGATTAAAAAAAAAAATCCCAAACAGGCACACCTAACAAATAGCCTTTTTTCAAAGTTCAGTTATTACACACATACTTGTCTTACTAATTTGGAATGCTATTCTGCAAATGTATCAAATCTCTACAATTTAAAGTCCCTATACTTGCTTCTCTTGGTTATATAAGATTTACTCACATAAAGTCTGTTTTGCTGATGGGTTATGAATCCCTCAGTTACTTGTTGTTGTTTTCTTTGATTATGAGAATCCAGGAGTCATGATGTAATGTTGCTATGGCAATGAATATGTACAAATAGATGATTAAGGGTGGGGGGATGTTAAATCTTGTGAAACACATTTGCACATAAATTTCTTTCCAGTGAAATAAAAATATCCAACATGTGAACTTCTTTCTATTATGTACAAAAATACGAAAGAAAAATGCTTTACATCACTTCTTGAACAATGCATTTCTGTTGTTTATATTAAAAAACAGGAGTAGTTCAATAGACTTCAAAGAGCATTTTCCTAATAATAGTTCATTTAAAAAGACACTGGATTAAGACTGGATTAATTTCCATAGGTGTGTGTGTGTGTGTGTGTGTGTTTGTGTGTGTGTAAGTGTAAAGTATAAGTTGGGACACATTATAAGGATGAAGGTCTTCTCTTGGTTGCTATGAAGGTGTCATTGAGGACTCAAGCATACTAGAATATTTACAATTGCCTAAGAATATACTTTGCCAGCTACTGGGCTTCAATACATTGAGAGTACTTAATACTTTACTTCAAAGTTTTCATAGTATTGACACTGGAACATGCATAGGAGGAAGGGGAAAATGATATATTTGAAGACCTAGTTAAAAATACTCCAACAAATAAAGTACTTAGATTGTTAACATTTTTTACTTGTGTCACAGAATTTTGCACCAAGAATTCAAAAGGTCCCAATTCGTTCATTGACTGGCCATATATTGATTGGCAGAGAACCCTAATCACTCTTTCGGTTTTTTATACTGTTCTTAAGACAAGGTAAGGATCCTTGCCATCTAATGAGGATTCTTTAGTTCAGTAGAGTTATAAAGTAAGCCATATATGTAATTTAAAATTTTTTAGTAGTCATATTAAAAAGTAAAGAGAAATAGGTAAATTTTAATTATTTATTTTATTTAACCCTGTATTATCATTTCAATCTGTATGCGATATAAAACTTATTAATAATGTGTTTTACATTCTTATTTTTGTATTAAGTCTTTGAAATCTAGCATGCATTTTATACTTACAGCACATGTCAATTTTTTTTAGACACATTTCAAATGCTCCTTATCTGCATGTGGCTAGTGGATACCATACTGACAATGCATCACTAGACTAAGAGGAAAGCATTGAGTTTGCTTACAATACTGAAGTTATTTAATATCAGACTTCTTGGGAGAACAATCTTGATTTCTAAGAAAATGAGAGCTTTCCGCCTTGCAGAGGTCATTGCTTACTGTATCTGAGACAAAAATAAATATGTGGGGAGTAAATATCTGACATTAGTGTAATGCCTATGTTTTAACAGTGCGCCAACATACACTACCCTTTTTGATCCAGGACATAGTTCTGAGAAATAGGGAAGAATGAAGTTCCATTTAGTTTTGGGGAAACAGGCCCAGAGAGTGAGCTAAATCCTGCTATTTAGGCTTCAAGTCTCATGATCCAATGGCAGACCACAATCTAGGGTACAGTTACCAAATAATGAGCAAGCCAAGCCAGCCAAAATATAATGTGTCCTAGCATTTTCTTGCCTTTTAAAAAAGCATCTGTTTTGTGGGTGTCTGGAAGGGCTCAGATTTGTCCCACATCTTCATTTTTTTTTTGGTTGTTGTTTGTTTGGATCCAGGATAGAATGAGAACAGGTCTTTTTACACTTTGGATTGTTTTGATTCATCCTGGCAGTGGCGGGAGAGATCCTCATGGCTGCCTCATGGCCCAAAGTCCAACAACCAGCCCACCTCCAACACCTTGATCCTTTAGTGGTAAAGTCAATTAGATACACCATTTCACCATAGGTCTCTCTTAGACCTGGGAAAGAACAGTGTTGAACTAGGTGAAGCAGCACGTAATCTCTTACTCTAAAGCAATTAATTTATACATGCTAGTACATTTATATGACTCGATCATTTTTCAAGGACCCCATTAAGAGCAGTAATAACACCAATATTATATTCTTGTTTTTTGTTTTGTTTTGTTTTGTGCCTGTATGTGTGTTATTTAGGTTAAAACAATCCCATAATCTCATTCACTTTAACGTTCAGGCTATATAGGTAAATTGAATTTAGGCTAATTTTTTACTCGGCAGTGTTGCCCTTCTACTTGCATTTTCAATCACAATCCCCACAGGAAGCGCATACATCGGACAATAAACCTCTAGGGATTCAAACCATACGTAAACAAGTTTCTAATATAAGCGTATTATTTTAAATAATTCTCAGTTCTCCTCCTGGCCTTAATCCGGATATATGATTTTCTTTTCCAGTTCATCAGTTGCTGAAAATTGTAGCTGCCTTTTCCTCCAAAAGTGGATTACACATTGTAGATGGCCGCATCACCTAGCGCAGGTGGTCCCGCTTTGGTCGCCATTCACAGAGGAGAGGGTCCCCGGAAGGCATCAGATTGGAAATGAAGTTTGTCAAGCCAGGGCTATAGGTCCGAAGGCAGTTGGGCAATTGGGCATTTCGAGGGATGGACAGAGAGGGCGCCCTTCCAAAGACGCGCAAACAGCCCATACGTGGTGGTGGGACGAGCGGGTAGGAATACAGGGGGGTTCCCACGGCGCGGTCCACTGAGATATAAGGACACTGGACAGTAAACGAATGTCGAGAGAACTGGAAGGATAGGTCCTCCGTAGGAGACTATAGAGCGGGTCACCAGGAAGCAATTGCTGCTCGGTTTAAGTTTCCCCAAAGTCTCAGTGGGGCTTTTCCTCTCGCCCCTGCCTCCTTCGGCAGTATCCACCCCCTCTTCCTTCGCCCCAGCTCTGGGCGATCTCACGGCCTCGCCCGAGGGCCGCCTTTGCCCGCCCGCTCCGCAGCACCAGGCCCGGTAGCGGCAGGAGGG